GTTATCGTATCTACGGGTGTAATGCCGGCTCATCCATCTCGTGTCAGTCTTGTAACATGAATCTCCATTGGAACTCCCATTGTTTGGGCTTCCAAGGGCTTCCTCTCTCCTAATACGATTCTCTAACCATTGTATCAAGGTCTCCTCCCTCCTGATACGATTCTCTAACCATTGTATCACGGCCTCCTCCCTCCTGATACGATTCTCTAACCATTGCATCACGGCCTCCTCCCTCCTGATACGATTCTCAAACCATTGTATCACGGCCTCCTCCCTCCTGATACGATTCTCAAACCATTGTATCACGGCCTCCTCCCTCCTGATACGATTCTCTAATCATTGCATCACGGCCTCCTCCCTCCTGATACGATTCTCTAACCATTGCATCACGGCCTCCTCCCTCCTGATACGATTCTCAAACCATTGTATCACGGCCTCCTCCCTCCTGATACGATTCTCAAACCATTGCATCACGGCCTCCCCCCTCCTGATACGATTCTCTAACCATTGTATCACGGCCTCCTCCCTCCTGATACGATTCTCAAACCATTGTATCACGGCCTCCTCCCTCCTGATACGATTCTCAAACCATTGTATCACGGCCTCCTCCCTCCTGATACGATTCTGTAACAATCGTATAGAATAGGTTAGCAGCACATTTCTGTTGCATGAAATCTGCCTAGGTAAAAATATAAAAAGTAAAATTAATTTTTAGTGTCAGTCTCAGTTCTCTCAGTCTTTCTTCTTTTGATCCAAAGATCTCACGTGATGACTGGTTGTGGAGTATTTCTATATGCTTTCCTAGCTGCTTCCTCTACGATGTTTACAGTTATTCCTGTTATTTTCCTCGTACTTTTGTGAGGGGTCTCCTGTTGTTTGGTGGTGGGTTGTAGAGCTAATTGCTACTATTACTTCTCTTTTCCTTTCCCCAACTTATAAAGGATTCCATATATTTCCACTACATTATTTCTTTCTCACCCCTCTGAGATCGAATTTCAGCTGAGACTAGAAAAGCTACTTCTTACCCGTGTGTGTGTGTGTGTGTGTGTGTGTGTGTGTGTGTGTGTGTGTGTCTCAGGGGCAGGGCGTGTTGTGTGTGTGGTTGTGTCAGCATTAAAGAGTAAGATTACTATATTTCTTTCGTTGCGGAGACAAAACAACTGCACTTGGTATCCCGTTTTCGTTATTATTACTGGTACTTGAAGCGTCCCTTTCTCCCACTGAGGTGGCCAGGGGCAGCACTGGTGAGACCACTAGCAAATTTGTCGACCCATGTACGGGAATCGAGGCTGGGTCATTTCGGTTTTGCGCCGACTGCAGTGAGGCGCATGTCATCCTGTGTGTATGCGTGTGTGTGTGGGTGCGTTGGCTAGAGAGGGTGTGTCGCCGCTCCTGTTCTCACCGCACTCAGTAATCTGAAGTTTCCTTCTTTGCAGGTGCGACCGCTGCAGGCAGCCTGAGGGCCTTCCACCACGCCAGTGTCTGTCTCTCTGGATGTACTTGCTGAGGCTCATCTGCTTCACATCCTCGGGTGTCTTCGTCTTATCCACGGCCTCCCACGTCGCATCTACTGCCTTCCACGTCGCACCTTCTGCTTTCTATGTTTCATCCCCTGCATCCTACATCACATTTCTAACCCTTTTACATCATATCTCAGATTTATGCTATTTATTTTTCAAATTCATCATTTGTTTGTTTTATACATATGTTCCTCTTTATGTTAGATCCTCTGCAACAGCTGAATACATCATTTCTTCTTTCTATAACATTTTCACCCAGTTGACGTTACATCGTTGTGGCATTACATCCTTTTCCTTCATTGACGCCACGTCACCGGCCATCTGGCACCAGCAGTGCCATTCTTGACGTTACCATTGAGAGTCGACACTATGTCGTGCCCTCAGGCCGCAGAGTTGCCGTCGCTACACGTGGCAGCACGTCCAGTGCCCACCAAGCCTGCAAGACTCTTGTGTCCAGACGCCTCCCGCACGCGCCGCCCACATAACTCTCTCCTCGACTCACCGAAAATGGGAGTCACGTGTCCCGATCTCCTACCCATTCAAAACATGGGTGATCACGGGAGGCATGAGGGGCCCACGCCTGCCTCAGATATCCCTTTTGATCTTTCCAAAGCAGGCCAGGAGTCGAGTATGGCGTCGGCCTCGCGCCCCCTCGACCTTAACGATTCCGACCAGCCACTCGATCTTAGAGTCGACTTTAAGAAACGACGGACCGTAGAGGACGAGAACATGAACCTGGTGTCGAGTCCTGGTAGGAGTTCCCCTCGTGAGGTCCCAGGACTCTGGGTGACGCTACCACAGGACTCTCCCGTACCACCCCTACCTTCCCCGTCATCATCAGCGCCTCCTGCATCTCCAACGTCCTCAGAGAGAATCATAAGACGGGTGGCCGACTGCTCGGGTCTAACCTACCCAGTGCCACACAATCTGGCACCCAGTGCGCCGGTGCCACTGCTGTATCCTCGACCCATTCCTCCTTCGCATCTCCTCTATGCCACCGCCAATAAAGATCTTCCATATTCACCCCTGGCTTCGCAGCCGGGGCTGACTCCTCCTCATTACTCCCTCCTCCCTCTCTCAGGGCGCAGTTATCCCTACTCCCTGATGAGGGGATACCCGTCCCTCAGCTGCCCTCCCCGACACCCGACACTCTACGAGGCTCTCAGCGAGCGCCGCCCCACAGATAACTCTACTGCAGGAGCGCTGGGACACAGCCTTAAGCCCCGGGAGCGGTACTCTTGTAAGTTCTGCGGCAAAGTGTTCCCGCGGTCGGCTAACCTGACGCGGCACCTGCGGACTCACACTGGAGAGCAGCCTTACAAGTGCAAGTTCTGCGAGCGTTCCTTCAGCATCTCGTCCAATCTTCAGCGTCACGTGAGAAATATCCACAACAAGGAGAAGCCATACAAGTGTCGCCTGTGTGAGCGAGCCTTCGGTCAGCAGACCAACCTCGACCGTCACATGAAGAAGCACGAGTCTGACGGACCCACCATCCTGGACGGTGGTCATCGGCGGCTCCTCCTGCCGAAACCGTCGCAGGAGAGCTGGAGGGGGCCAGCCCCTCCTCCCCTCACCCCCCTATCCTCACACGCAGCCTTTACTCACTCCCTCACCAACTCTCTCAGCCAATCACTCACTAACTCCTTCACCCAATCACTCACACAGTCCTTAACCCAATCACTCCACGGCCCCTTTACTCATTCAACCTTCACTGCCGACACTCACGCCTCTTCTCCTGTACACTCACCGATTCCCAACCCTCAAGAAGAGGAAGAGGAAGACATTGACGTGGAGAACGAAGACGAAGAGGAGGAGGAAGAGAGGGAAGGAGAAGCGACTAACGATGACAGACGTGTGTCATGCGAGGTTACCATCACTCCAGCGCCCATCACAACTGAAGCATCCAATTCTCCTGCCTCCGGCGAGAACATGGTACAGGTGTGACCAGATGTGAGCACCAGGTGTGAGCACCAAGTGTCACCAGGCGCTGCCTCTCCGTCCTATCACTGAAAAAGACAACCTGCGGGTGAAGAGACATCCATAGTTAGCTAACGTCTTCTTACCGGCAAAAAAAAAAAAGAGTACAAGTGGATGTAGATTACTCACTGTTACAAAGACGTAACTAAAATCTTGCAACGGGAATCTTGCAACGGGAGACCTACAATGGGAGTCTTAAAATGGGAGGCTTGCAAAAGGAGTCTTTCCTGTCATACAAACCAACGGCGACCCGTTGCAGGAGTAACAGAAGCTTGTTCAACCAAAGCTGAACCGACATCTGTACAGGTGTCCTTTAAGAGAGTTATAACCTAGCAGAGTACAAGTGTTTGACCTTTTTCTTTCCTTTTTATTGTGCACTAAAATATTATAGATGCAATGAACGCTAATGTATTGTCTTGCTTCCGTGTGGTACAAATTCAAAATATTTTTTTGAGAGCATTTGCACGTTAGAAATTTATTCAAGCTTCTATTGAAGTGAAAGACTGAAGCGGGTGTTGCAGCTCCTGTGTGTCGTTACTGCCAGTCCTACGTGTTAGGACTGGGCAAGTGTCAGGAAAAAGGTCTGAAAGCTTACAGGATGCAATATTTCCGTGCTCTGTGCTCTCTCGAGGCTAAAGTGAGAGGATGGATGGGGATTTCCCCTTATCCTCGTGTTACTAGACGTGCAAATTTCTTGGTTTTCTGGCGTCAGAGGGGAAGAGGAGATCACTGAAAGGGGTCATTGAAAGAGGGAAGAAAGAGGTGAAGGATCTCATTCAAACAGTGAAGTGATTGAAAGAGTGAAGGGGGTCATTGTAACTGTGAATATTATTGTATTTGCGAAGGATATTATCGTCATGAGGAGGTCATTATAAGTGTGAGGGTCATATAAGTGTAAAGGAAGCCATTGTAAGCACACACAGTATTATGTAAGTGCACAGCTGAGAACTAGCAGTGTTTTTTTATGTTATACAACTGCTGAAACCTGTGTTGCGTTAAACAAGTGTCACAGATGTGTTAAAACAGTGATGGGGAACTGAGAAGGAAGAGACCCAGGGAACTCTGTCTCGTAAACAAGTGCTTGTTATTCCCACCTGAGACAAATCCTTAACGCAGATGTATGAGTCTGTATTTACCATTCCAGTTCCTAATGCGCTTCGCTGTAAAAGCGTTAACGGCAGTGTTTATTTTGGAAATGGCTCTGCAGCGTTGCAGGAAAGCACTCCGCTGAACCGTAACTCCATGCAAATTATTGCACACCAGTAAAATGCAATAAACGTGGATGAAAATAGCCATGGCTGACCTGACCTATTGCAAATTGCCTGACGATGCAAGGTGAGAGAGTTGCAACCAGAGTGTTGCGTTACCCCGTGACAAAGTGAAACAAAACGCAGTGTTTGTGTGAAAACACAAGAGTGTTGCAGTTGAGTTGATGTCAAACGTGCAGTGCTGTCTTTGACCAAATTTTGATAATTTTGATCATATTTTGATGACTTTGACAAAAATTGGGGTGTTCCTTCTGTGAATTTTATATGAGTTATTGTGTGTGTGTGTATATATATATATATATATATATATATATATATATATATATATATATATATATATATATATATATATATATATATATATATATATATATATATATATATATATATATATATAATATATATATATATATATATATATATATATATATATATATATATATATATATATATATTTATATATATATATATATATATATATATATATAATATATATATATACATATATATATATATATATATATATATATATATATATATATATATATATATATATATATATATATATATATATAATGCATGTAAAGTAATTCATTCAAATGCAATACTTCGAAATTTGCTCGATCTCCGCAGATGCGAGAGAGGTTTGCGATTACGCACTCACTTTGTGAATAAATTTGCGGGTGTGGCCGATCGTGGAGCGTTGCGCGCGCCGCCTCGCTCCTGGAAAAACTCTAGAGGCCAATTTCGTAGTTACTACTTTCCGTGTTCTATGGTCTGCTGTTCCGTGATCCATGGTCAGCTGTTCCGTGATCCATGGTCAGCTGTTCCGTGTTTCATGGTCAGCTGTTCCGTGTTCCATGGTCAACCGTTCTGTTTTTCGGAGCCAAGGAACCTTACGAAGTAGCAACTACGTAGCAACAAGAGGCTACCTTACTACTATGAGTGTGTGTGTGTGTGTGTGTGTGTGTGTGTGTGTGTGTGTGTGTGTGTGTGTGTGTGTGTGTGTGTGTGTGTGTGTGTGTGTGTGTGTGTGTGCGTTTTAAACAGAGAACACGTTTTTAAAACATTTTAGAAAAAGGTTTTTTGATTGGGACATGTTTTCCCGGGTAGGAAAAAGTTTTTCCCATAAAATAAAAAGGGGTGTTTTACGGGCGGGAAAAATGTGTTGCACGATTGGACAAGTGGAAAGGTGTTTTGGAAATCAGAAAAGGGGCCTTCAGAGGGGCCCCCTTAGAGGCATAAGGGGGGGGGGCGGGTTGGTCGTCCCTTTTGGGGTTTTTTACCTGGGGCCCTTTGTTTCTTAAGACCTTCGGCTGGGAGTCAGTCATCTAAAGGGGCCGTCACGTATTCAAACCCAAATTTTTGTGGAGTCGCAGCTTGGGGTTTTTTAGCGATCTGACCCCACAAATGGTGGGTGACGGGGGGTCTCCTTGACAAAAAGGGTGGGGACGCAACGGGCATGATTAAAGAAGCGGAAAATAAAACTTCTTTTAAAAAAATAGTCTTTCCAAATAAAATTTGGTGGCTCCCCGGGGGAAGCAGTGACGCCATTTTTTTTTTCATGTTTTTTAATTCCTTATTGTTTTACTTTTTTTTTTGGATTTTTTTTGTTTTTGGTTCCCGGGGGAATGTTTTCAGTCTTTTGGGGGGGTTGGGGGTGGGGGGGTGTGTGTGGGAGAGAGAGAGAGAGAGAGGAGAGAGGGGAGGAGGGAGGAGAGATTTTTATTTCTCGAAAAAGTAGTTCTTCACCTTTTTTAAAAAAATTACTGCCCCCCCCATTTTTGGGTGTTTTTCCCCAAATCAGTAAAGGTTTAAAAACCACGCTCATACCCAAAAAAAAAAAATATAAAAATGCTGGAGGGCCCTATATATAGCACGGGAATGACATCGGTAAACCTTTTGGGTTGTTGTGTTGCGAGCTCCCACAGGGAGAGAGAGAGATGCAGCTGGTTTTTCTTATGTGTGTGTGTGTGTGTGACCCCGGAAGGATCCTGATATCGCCTCCAGGGAGGTTTGTGACTGAATGATGGGGGTGAAGTTTGACAGCAAGATGGCTGGGAAACTTGCGAAAAATTTCTCCAAAAAATGTGTCAAAAAGAGCCCACTTTTAGCGCAGGTTATAAGTTCAAACTAGGGGTTTTTTTATGACCCTTTGGTTGTGAGATTTGCCTTGTTCCCACCCCCCACTGATTTACTGAACCACGTGGTTTTTTAGAAAAAACCCGGGTGTGTCTGCCTCCCCCCACTGAGTACTAAAACCACATTTGGTGTTAAAATACCTGTGTGTCTGCCTCCACCCACTGAGTACTAAACCCACAGGGGTGTTAGAAAAACCTGTGTGTCTGCCTCCCCACTGGGGTACTGAACCACGGGGGGGTTTTTGTTAAAATTACCTGGGGCTGCCTAAAACCCACGAGTACTAAAACCCCCAGTGGTTTTTTGAATACCTGTTTTGGGCCTCCCCCTTTACTGGAAATAAACCCGTGGTGTTAAAAAACCTGTGTTTCTGCCACACCCACTGAGTATGCCCCCCACGGGTTTTAGAATCCCTGTGTGTCTGCCTCCACCCATGAATAATGTTGATTTATATCCAAACGTACCCCATCCCTATGTTTTAAAATAAAAAACCCCTTAAACCCATGCCCAAAAGGTGGTATCCGCGTGCCCACGAGCACAGTCAAAATCACCGAAGAAAGGGTTTTTATGTGGGTGTGTATGTGGAAAAACAACCCCCGGGAGATTTTAAATGATAGTTTTAGGCCTTTCGTGTTGCAATGCACTCATCAGGGGTTTGCAATGTTGCGCAAGGGAACAGGGGGTCAGAATGAGATATCTTTTCCAGCAGCCCCCGGGAGTCTGCTGGATAAAACACCCTCATTCCAGGGGCCCCCCCTTAAAGGGGATCTACGGGAATTTCATCCCCTTTTGCTTTCACACCCCAGTTGTGTGAAGATGTTTTGATTGCGGCAAAAAAGACCAAGAACTTTTCTTTAATCCCCGGTGGTTGTTTTGCAAACGAAAGGTAGAGCTATAAATTTAAAACCCCGGAATGGTCGTTTTGCATTTGTCTCGCTTGTTGCAAAGATCCCCCTGAATGTGTTGTTTTAGTTCAAATCACTTTTCTAAAAATAAAAAAAAAAAGACCCCCCTAGATCTCACTTCCCAAAATATTTATTAAATCTTTTTTTTTACCAAAAATAAAATTTTTTAAAAAAAAAAATTTTCTGTAGATATGTAATTTAAAAGGGAAAATTTTTTGTTTATTTTAAAAAGAAGAGAACGCTTGGGGGTTTTATTTAACCAAAACCCGTGATAACCTCCCCTGAGGGTCGGTTTTAAAGGGTCTTGTTTTAGGAGTGGAGAAAACTCCTTTTCCTCGGATCATTTGATTGCAAAATAATAAAAATAATAATAAAAATAATAATAAAAATAAAATTAAAAATAATAATAAAAATAATGATAATAATAAAAAAATAATAATAATAATAATATTTAAAAATTTTAATAATAAAAATTAAAAAAATTTCCCTTTATCGCTATTTTTCAAAATTTTGACTATTGAAATAAATGCAATTTTTAGTTGGAAATTTTAAAAACCCACTACTATTTTCTTCTGCTTCTATGTACTGCGCTAATACTACTGCCCAAAAAAATTTTTAATTTTCTACTACTGCTGTATACTACTATACTGTACTACTACAGCATTATACTACTGTGATGAAATATATCAGGGGAAATGGGGGCATGGTTTAAAACTTTATCCATTGATCATTTAAAGCTTTTTAAAGCTTTGTTTTCATTAAAAAATGACCCCCTGAGAAATGAACTTTAACGAGTGTTCCCCAGAGCTTTCTTCTTTTCCTCTCTCTCTCTCTCTTTTCTCCTCTCTCTCTCTCTCTCTCTTCTTCTTCTCTCTTCCCCCTTTAAGGGCCCCACCCGCTGTACAACACAAGGGGGATGCTTTCCTTCGGGGTTTACAGTGTCATTTCTGTAATTTCAAACACCCCGTCAAAAGTTTGGAGGGTGATGCTGTGGTTTTATGTGTTAGGTGTGCTGTGGGGGGTGCTGGGGTGGTGTGTGGGTGATGCTGTGGAAACATGCTGTTTGGTGATGGGTGTGGGTGGTGCTGTGGGTGGTGTGTGGATAATGCTGTTTAAAGGGGGATGCTGTGGGTGGTGCTGTGGGTGGTGCTGTGGGTGTGCTGTGGTCAAAGTGTTAGGTGAGCTGTGGGTGATGCTGTGGGTGGTTTGTGGGTGATGCTGTGGGTGGTGCTCTGGGTGGTGCTTGGTGATGCTGTTTGGGGGATTTTTGGGTGATGCTGTGGGTGATGCTGTGGGTGGTGGGTTGGGTGGTGCTGTGGGTGGTTTCTGTGGGTGATGGTTCTTTTGGGGGGGTGTCTTTGGGGGGTGCTGTGGGTGATGCTGTGGGTGATGCTGTGGGTGATGCTGTGGGTTTAGCTGTGGGTTTGGGGCTGTGGGGGTGCTGTGGGTGGGGCTGTGGGTGGTGGGTTTTTGGGGGGATGCTGTGGGTGTGCTGGGGGTGATGCTGTGGGGGATTTCTGTGGGTGGTGCTGTGGGTGGTGCTGGGGGTGAAAGCTGTGGTAGATACTGGGGGTGATGGCTTTTGGGGATGCTGTGGGGGAGTGCTGGGGGTGGGGTGTGGGTGGTGCTTGGGGGGGTGCTGTGGGTGTGCCCCCTGGGTGATGCTGGGGTGGTGTGGGGTGATGCTGGGGGTGGTTTCTGGGGGTGGTGCTGTGGGTGGTGCTGTGGGTGGTGTGTGGGTTGGGGGCTGGGGTGGTGCTGTGGGTGGTGCTGTGGGTGGTTTCTTGGGTGGTGCTGTGGGTGATTTCTGTTTGGGTTTTGGGGCTGTGAGGGGGTGCTGTGGGTGATGCTGGGGGGTGGTGCTGTGGGGGATGGGTTTTGGGTGATGCTATGGGTGGGGGGTTTGGGTTTATGTGTGGGTGGTGCTGTGGGTGTTTGCTGTGGGGGTTTCTTGGGTGATGCTGTGGGTGGTGCTGTGGGTGATGCTCGGGTGATGCTGGGGTTTTTGCTGTGGGTGATGCTGTGGGTGGTGCTGTGGGGGGATGCTGTGGGTGGGGTGCTGTGGGTGGTGCTGTGGGGGGTGCTGTGGGTGATTTTTTGGGGGTGTTGTGTGGGTGATGCTGTGGATGAAGCTGTGGGTGGTGTTTTGGGGTGATGCTGTGGGTGGTGCTGTGGGTGGGTTTCTGTGGGG